CCGTAGTCTACCTATATACATGCACTGTTTTCATCAGATACAATAATTTTGACAAGTGTTCTGTCAGCTACTGGCGATATTGACGATATTAAAATAATTTTGTTCATCTTTGACTTCTATAGATAGTAATGACTCGTTATATTAAGAATAATCTAGCTAAAACAGTGTTTCCTTATGTGGGACGACACGTTGAAAAAATTAGTTTTGGGACAACGGAGACAAGATCGTCCTGCATTTTACGAACTTTAAGAACTAACTTAGTAGTAATTTTTTAAATAAAGTACATAAAAAAATAGATCATTTTTAGGAAAAATGAAAGGTGTATTTATGATTCATTGTTGCTCCAAAATATTGTCCAAGTAAAATAAAAAATTGTTTCTACTTCGAATACGGAAAAATATAATAATCGGCTGAGCTTTTCCAAACGTGACTAGGAGGTATAGAAAATTTTATAAACCTTTAAAATGATACACCACGAAAATGTTAAAAAACACTTAGCTAGAGTGTCTTTTTAATTTTAATAGAATATGTTATCTAGTTATGAAAGAATATATCAAAGCATGAAAAAACTTGTTTTTTGTAATTCAGTTTATGTAGTGTACACTGATTTTTAAGACTAAATAGTCTTTAGTGCTACTGACCTATAATCGAATATTTTAGAACTACAGTAATTTTTGCAAAATAATTAAAAAGTAGTCGTAATCAGGCGAAGAAAAAAATGAAAAAAAGGGTATTGCACAAGTTTCTGTTGACATAAAAGTAGCTGTTTTAAATGCTCTCAAGCAGATATATATGTTGCAGATTGATTATATTTTGATGGTTAAAATGATGTGAACCATTTCTGAAATACATAGTTGCCTTGAAAATTCACATAAGTTTAATGAGCATATAGACAATTACGATAAAAATGCAGTCTGTTTCGGTTGCATTTAGATTTAATTATATTCCTTTAATTGCATTATTGGTCTTAATTAATTTTTTCAATTGTTAGGCAATAAATACTCAGTTTGTGACAACTTAATTAGGTATACGTTATTATTACTATAAAAAATAGTCATCTTTTATTACACTATAGTATGGAATGACTGTGTTTTTATTCCAAAGAAACATTCTAAAAAACCTTCAAAATATGAAAAATAAAATAAAATTTTAATTAAACTAATACATTTTCTAGGTTTTATTAAGTTTTTTCCTTTTAACTTAAAATCTTTGATAATTTTTTATTCTTCATCACCTTTAGTTTAAGTATATGAACAATATGGTTACATTATAGATAGCTCGATCTGAAATAGGAACAATTTGAAAATATTGTGGTTGAAAAGTTCCATATAGAAATATTTTGTACGCATAAAAGATGACGCCTTTTATGAAATTTGATTACGATATTTTTCAATAGCATATATATCAAGTGATGTTATGCTATATAAAGATAATCACAAAATCAAGTATTTAGCTGATGACAAAATTTTAGAGAACTTAATTGCGAGCTACGTGAATATCCAGTGAATTCTAGAAAATTGGTGTCAACTCTAAAGCAGAAACTTTGCAGTCATTGATGAGTAAATAATTCGATCAAGTTTACAATTTGGTTTAGAATCAATTTAATAGTAGCTTAGATTTACTTGAAAATAAATGCACATAAATCTATGTTTTGGGATTTCTGGGATTTGGAGAGAAGAAAAAAGAATGATCAAGTCCTTATCATTTGTGCAGATGTCCAGAATTGACAAAGAGTAAACCTGCACTTTCTGGGTATCGGCTTTTAACGACCCCGGTATCAAAAAGAACTATCAATTACTGATATCACAAATCTCACAAAACTTTTAAAGAAAATAAATTGGTTAAAATGCTAAAGATACCTCTTGAAACAAGAATAGACGAATGATATAAACAATTCTAAAAAACCAAACTATTAAAAGTAGGGAAATTAATATAAGAGCCTTGGGGTAACGCTAAGGACTCTAATTTTTAATATAATGTCATACTTTTTTTCTTGAAAGTTTTTTTTTAATTTATAAAAGTATTTTTATAGAACTATGTAAATTTTTTAAACATTACCAAATAAAATATTTCAACACGTTATTGATAGATATTAAAGATACACAATATGTAATTTATAAAATATTATTCATCAGCGCGGGAAACAATTGTATTATCTAAGTCCATCAAAGGAATTTTACGATGCGACTAAATAATCAATATTTTCACAATTTTCACAAGTAAGCATAAAATACGGAAATTATGTATATCTCTGATATATACCCTTTATGAAAAGTTAATGTAAAATTTAATAAGTGTGTCTAATTGCTTAATATTATTTTACCAATCTTTTAGTCTAACACAATTTTTAGCGTTTGGATTTTTTATAAAACAAATAAATTTATTTATTTTATATATGTTAAATATTAAATTTGTATATATTAATAAGTATATGCATGATACAAAAATAGACTTATACCCACTCTGATAATATAAAATTAGATTACTTAGGGAACTAATTAACTATGATGTTATGAGATACACTTGATTTATTGAAATATTTCGAATGTATTTTTTATGAATGCACAGACTGTATCATTTTTATGCAAGTTTTAGTTATTTTATTAAATTTATAATTAACTTTTTTAATTTATCAATCCGTCTTCTGATAACAGATATTTTTAAATGATATGAATTATTATTATACTAACGGACCTATTCTGTGCACTTGACAGATTTGTCAAATTCTTTAATAAAATTTTTGATTTTTATAAAGCAGAAAGCTTTTTGGTATTCTGGTCACATCTTGACAAATTTCAAAGCACGATGTGGCAATACTTAGTGTAAAGCAAAAGAACCTAAATTGTTCTATATTTGACCAACTTATGGAGAAAATAATATTGTCACTTTATCATGTCTTGTCTCATACTAATTCTATTCCTAACAGTTGTAAGGATAATACAAATTTGTAATAAATAGTGCAGTTATCATGCACTTATAAACAACATATTCGCAATATTTTAGTTCCATTTTATTAATTGAGTATATAATTTAAAATAAACTAGTAGTAAAATGGAATAAATATTGTTTCATATAAAACTACTACGCTGAGCGAAATTGTGACTGTGACTCCTGAGTACGAGTTTGATAACACAATTTTGGTATATCAAATATTATTTTATTAGAATTTTAACTCTGAAATAAATGAAAACTATTCTCTCTTTTAATTTATCGTTACTAACTGTACCTTAATATTATCGTTATATTTGTCACTCAATAATGGATATACATAATAAAAAACCAAAGTAATCATAGTTCATGTATATAGACTTACGGACCTATTCTGTGCACTTGACAGATTTGTCAAATTTTTTAATAAAATTTTTGATTTTTATAAAGCAGAAAGCTTTTTGGTATTCTGGACACATCTTGACAAATTTCAAAGCTCAAGTACCTAGTGCTTCTTACCACACTATGGTGTAAAGTGTTTTGTATAGAAAACTGTTCGTAATTGTTCGTAACTGTTCGTAAAAAATGCTTGTAAAGAGCACATATTTTAAGTTGCCAAAAGCATTTTTCATGCATTCAAATAACAATAAAAAATTTGCTTGTAAAGAGCACATATTTTAGTTAAGAATATTTGTCATGCATGCAAAAAATAAAAAATGCTTCAAAAGAGCATATTTTTTATAGTTGTCAACAACATTTGCAGTATTGCCAACTATTGCCAACAAGGAAAAGAGCTTTTTATTTATGTCACAGAATACCAAAACCTTTACAGCAGTCAATTTTGACAAGTGTCAATGTTTGACCAGTTTATGAAGAGCACAGAATAGGTCCGTAAATATGAATTATTACATATTCTCAATTAAAAGTTATGTATAAAATAAAATTAAGAGTGTTATATCATATTAATTCTAAAATAAAGAATTAAAAAAAAATTAAGTAACATAACAAATTTCTAAATTAATAAATTTAGAGAATACTCGACAGTCGACTCGAATACTCGACAGTCGACTCGAATACTCGACAGTCGACTCGAATACTCGACAGTCGACTCGAATACTCGACAGTCGACTCGAATACTCGACAGTCGACTCGAATACTCGACAGTCGACTCGAATACTCAACAGTCCACTGACTCGAATACTCGATAGTCGACTCGAATACTCGACAGTCGACTCGAATACTCGACAGTCGACTCGAATACTCAACAGTCCACTGACTCGAATACTCGACAGTCCACTGACTCGAATACTCGACAGTCGACTCGAATAGTCAACATAATTCGACTATTCTATATAACGAATTATGAATTCATTGAATAGTCAATGACAGAATTTTGTTGTTCGTTGAATTGAACATTCTTTAAGTTGGTTATTTATTATATTCTGCCACTAGTGTAATCATCTCTGTTGATCTAATCTTGAGTTTCTTTGCTCATAATAAATCATGATTGAACATAAATGGACATTAATTTATGAAAACAACTTAAATCGAAAATAATATACTCATATTTTTGTTTCGACAAAGTGTTGATAATATTAAAGTTATTATCTAAATTGTATAATTAATAATATATTAACATGTGAAGTATTAAAATAAATGAGTTTAACACTTATATTATAACCTTTAAATTTTTAAACGTGCATTATGATAACTTAATATTAACTTAAGTCATATTTACTATATCTACTTAAAGAACTATTAAAAAATTTCTACTCTAACATATAGATTTAATAATGTTAACGTGTCATCACACAAAAATGATTCAGGTTATACATTTGGTAATATCATCTATTTACAAATGTTAATAAGCTTACAAGTTAATAAACAAAGATCCATTTATCTATTCAAATATCTTAAAGCACATTTTTATTATTATTGTAACTTTATTATATATATATTAAACTATATTCTTACATATCAATTTAAACTTAAATTCCAAGGACAAATACTTAAAACTAAACACTTATAAAACAAATCCTGCTGATTGTATATTTTTTTGCGTACCTTTTCAGCGTCTCTGTTAACAGCCACAACAATTCTAGGAAACCCACAAACAGATCAACAACAAGTACAGAAACAGAAACGAGAGTTGCCACATTATCCGAAATGGCCAACTTATAGCCTACAAAATATGCCACAAACACGTTTCACATGCCATGATAAGATACTCGGTGGCTACTATGCAGATTCCGAAACTCAATGTCAAATGTTCCATGTATGCGTCAAAGTGGTTGGAGTGGGGGTAAGTGTAATAAAATGTTTTATGCCATGAATTATCTTAAGCGGTAGCACAAGTACTTCAAAATCGCATATGAAAAAGTGGACCAAAAGAAACGCAACAAAAAAAACAAAAATAAGATCAAAAAACGATTAAATTTAAAGATCGACGAATATTTCGAAATGTTAAAGTTTGCACTTGTGACGCATTCCAAGACTTTATTACAATCCCATACTGGTTGCTATGAGTCGTAATTGGTGCCATGTCAATTTAAGTGCAGCGCTGCACTCAACAAGTAAACGCTTTGTTTGCATCCAAAAGCCAATTGTGCGCTGATATTCACAATTCCAATTCAATGCGATATAGTATCTTTTATTTAACGATTTGTGTGCCATTAATGAAAAATAAACTCAAATGCATGTTAGAAATATCAAAGTACCATGGAAAGACGCTTAGACGACATAAGCGCAAATCTCACAGAACAAAATAAAACCATTTTTATTCGTGATTTAAAAACGGAAAACGTCTTCAAGTTTCAGATTTGTTGGTTGCATTTGCGTTTATTAAATTGGCTTTTGCTGCTTCGTTCACTTAACAAGATACATTTTAATGTGACCTTTAAAACAAATAAATGAGCTCTTATAAAATTTTTCATTGAACAAGTACAACTGAAACTGTTGTGGAATGCAACGGTGGCAGCTTAAACACTAACAAATCTTATTCTTTTTAAAAATAATTATTCTCAGGTAAAAATAGCACAATTTTATAGCAACAAAAAGCCATGAATTTCATTTTTATAATTATTCTTAATTTTCCATAATAGACAACTTAACATTTCCTATGCGTGGCTTTTATATAATTAAATACTTTGCTTATTTGTAAATCATGCCAGAGTATCTTTTATTGCTACTATATACAAAAAATGAACTTCCAACATCTAATATGCATATCCATAAATCAGTTCCAATGTGTTACTCAACAGTGCTAAGCAAATGGCAGCACATCGTTTTATGTGTCTGTGGTATATTGTTTTGTTAGTTGTAATAATTTTACGAGGCACAATTAAATAAAAAATATCAAAGTTCATTATAAATAAAAAAAAATATTATGTAGTATTACTAGTAATACTATTATTATAGTATTATGTATTGTATATGTATTGCAAACATACTGAAGTTAGTTCCGGTTACTACTTCAGCTATTAAAATATAATGGCTTCTTTTGAAATATAATTAACAAAACAGTTCTTACGATTAAATTTAATTTAATTTAATATTAATTATTTATTTGCATGAAGAGCTAGCTATAAATTTGAAGAACGATCAGAGTAATTTATTTTCAATTAATGCAATGATATGCCATAAATTCTTCTTATGTCAAATATGATATATATGACCTTCCACTCATTTCGACACACGTTCAATGAAAATATTGTATTATTGTATTCTATTAATAATATTGTATTTTTATGAATGAGTTTGTTGTTATTTATTGCGTGTTCTCAAGCTAACTTCAAGTTGACCATTTTTCTTCATAATTATTTTAATTATTCACTCTTCTGTATCCTGAAGTACATAATAATATTGTTAAGTTGTTACTTATTTTGAGATTATTTACACAAGTTATACCCATAACAAATTAATGTTTGGTTCTCCTATCAGATAATAAGCAGATGCGCTAACTTACTTACTTATTTGGCCATAACAACCCGTTACGCAGTATCTCTAGTGCGATACTGCGTAAAAGCTAATAGGATAATAAATTATATAAATGGATAAGAGCCATCAATTTTGACTTTGGGTATTATATTTTAAAATAGTAGTATTATTTCTTACCATAGAGTCCTTTTAATAACATAAAATCCAGAGTAGCAAAACTATCTACGTGTATAGACTGGGATAAAAGGATTTTGTAGTCATTGTTAAATTGGTGTTATTTGGACACAAAAAATTATTCAATTTTAATTACATTTATAGAATGCAAAGGTAAGAATAATGTTAATGCTGTGAATCAGATTTGCACATCCCAACTTCTCAAAATTCTAAACGAGTTTTTCAATTTTCCATTTTCTCTTATATATGATTATAAATTATTGCTTATAAATACTAGATAGTCCGCAAAAGTAAAAAAAGGTTTTGCAGAATATACAATATAAATTATAAATGATCCAAGCCAATTTCCTTAGAGAAATGTAGCTTTTATATATTTTTTTAAATACTCGTTTTATTCTACTTAAGTTTCCTGTTCATATAAAGGAGATCTTCCATGTTAAGTTTTGTGAAACTATTGCTCAAGTATAATATTTATTGATTGTGAAATTTTTTTATAACTGACAATATTATAATAAGATGATATAATTATCCCTATGAGGCTTCGGAAAAGTCTTCCTGCTAGAATTAAAAAAAAAATTGAGTAGGAATGATAAAGTTTCCCAATATTTTAAGTCATATATTATTTATAAAATACATGAAACAACGTAAATTAAATTTAGTTTTTCTGAAGCCAGTTATGACGTTAACCTATTTTATTAATAAAAAGGTTTATTAACAAAAGTGAATTACAACAACAAAATTTTATGATGATGATCTTCTTCTCTTTTTAAAGTAATCGCAATGCATATCGTGTCGGATCTCGTTGTGTGATATCTCAAGATCACATAATAACATAGTGTGTTGTTCCTTCATTTGCATTCATTTGCATGCTTATTTCAACGATAATTTTCCTTGGTTTTTGTATGCTGCCTGGTTTCCCCTTTATTTTTTTATATGCAGTACTTGTCCTACCACATGGTCACCTGTTTTTTTTCCTATATAACCATACCGGCGGAGACGGTTTTCTTGTAGCTTAACGGCGACTTTAAAGATTTACTATAAGTCTAATCATATATATTTCTTTTAGATATTCACTTTAGTTCACTTTTAAGCTTAAAATGGATAACAATAGCTAAAGAAAACTAAAAAGATGAGACCAGTGACGGAGCTAGACCAATTTTTTTTTTAAATTATGTCATAATTTGTGTCAGCTGCTATTTTTGTTTCAGTTTATGGAATTTCCAATGGAGATAGTCTCTCTTGGATCATCATACTTTTCTAGTACGTCTCAATCAATTTTGACTTTGAGAAGCTTCTTTCCGTCGAAGCTATACTGACTGGAACTGTGAACATGAATCTGGTTACTATATAAACATTCGGGAACACTTTGAATATGGTTAATGCCATTATCAAACCAAATTGTTCAAAATATTTATTAAGTGCTTAGAATCCACAGTCGGTAACTTTTTGCGAGGCCCCCGTGGGCGCGAGGCCGTCGGCAGTCGCCGACATCGCTGACGCCTAGCGACGCCACTGATTGAGACTTGATACTGGGGTTACTTTTTATATAAAAATTATAACAATTACTTCAACTGGGCACTAAAAATAAATTTTAGAAGACCTCGATTACCATATCGAATGCAGTTATATAAAAATTGTAGCATAAAATCTATATCAAATATAAAAAAAAACTTTTTCATAGTTTAAAAATACACTGAAAAGAAAAAGAGCACAATTAACTTAGCTCCAATACGTCACATATATATTTTCACATGCGAAACAAACGAATTTTTACGTAAATATCACCTATGATCAAAATTTCATCCTTGTAGACACTGGCAACCTCTAACTATTAATTACCTACTTAAATAATTTCGCTTATTCAATCATAACTTTCACTTTTTTATTTGCGTATTTTTTATATAAAAATTATTATTATTTTTTTAATATTTTCATAAATCAAATTTTAACAATAATTCATTTTTATTATGACGAACTTTTGACAGGTTCAAGACTTCCGATTCCTTTGTCCAAATGGTACCGCTTTTGATCAAGAAGCACAAATTTGCGCTGATTGGGGTGATGTGGATTGCGAACAATCGGTTTTATATTATGGGAGCGATAATTTTGATTTGTATCGTATTGGGTCAGGGTTCGAGAGTAAAAGAGCGCCTTTGGCTGAAGAAGATGAAGCAGTATTCCATTTGCAACGTGCCGAAAGTGGTAAGTAAAAATAAATGCAATATTTAAACAAACACCAAACATCAACAAATGTAGAATAATGGAGTGCGAATTTGCGGTCAACTAATAATTAAAATGATTATATAATTTTTCAATTGTTTGTAGCGGACATAAGACGATCTAAAGAAACTCGCGTTGATCAAAAGTCACGCCCCGATCAACCGCCAAATTATACGAAACATTTTGAAGCAACAACACGAAACTCTTTCAATAATTATGCAAATTTGAATACAATTAATCGCAATCAACAGCAAGTGAAGAAGAATAGTGAATCAAAAACTTCAATTGTGAATTTTTACACTCCAACTACAAGTACAACAACAACAACTACTGAAAGATACAATGATGATTCCAAGCGTAAGTTTTATCTATTATTTGCTACCTTTGTTTTTAGACAATACAAAATTCAACATACTTACTTCTTTTCATTTATACCTTTATGCTATTGCAGAAGATTTAGATGATATATTCAAGGGTTCACATAGTTCACATTTCTTTGCAAATCGAAATGGTGGTCGAGAAGATGATTTTGTAGATGTTTCGAACAAAATTCAAGCTAATGATTTTACTGATTATAACAAAAAAACGGAACAACTTTCAAATGGTAAAACTCGTTTGCAACCTGCACGCTCGAGGCGTATACAATCCACAACTCAGAAGCCAATAACTACAAGTACGACCACAACCCTTGCACCTGTGTCCAAAATAACGAAGAAACTAACTCTACAAACCTCATTCAATACAGATTTTGTTCCATACACACCAACTACAACGACCTCAACCACCTCTAGACCCAGTCAAAGCAATTTGAATAGATATAGTTTTAGTTCCAGTGACTACCCAACACAAGAGAAAATCGAACCAACCACTTACAATCCAGCAAATAGTATTTATCGTTATAAAGTAACTACACCAAAATATACTGAATTCAGCCGTGATAACTTTGCAGCACCTAAAACAACTAAGAATGAAATTAGTACGGCCGTCTATGAACAAACAGCTTTTTCGAACAAACCAACAATTTCTTCAAGGAAATCACAGCAACGTCAACAAAAAGTCACTACTCAGAACTCTACATTTACTAATCAAAACGAATTTAATGAATTTTCAAAAATCAAAGTACAACAACCACAACCATTCCAACCTTCCAAGGTTTTTACGGCACCTACATTACCGCAGAAGGCACAGAGAACTCTGGATAAACCGATAAATAACTACGTCGACATATCTCGTGCTACAGTTGAAAATACTGAGCCACAATATTTCCGTTCACGTACGCAGCAGGTGCAACCAGCACCATTCAGTTCGCCCCAGAAACAACAACAACGTACGTCAACCACAGCACCAGAAGAGACTATTACGAAGACAGCAAAACAAAGTAGTCCACGTGGTTTTGCAAGTCGCGGTAGCATTAACTATAAGGCGACTACGCAGCGCAATGGCGATAGTAATTACACTCCAGCTAGTAATGTCAAAAAGTTTTCCACCTTGGTGCCAAGAGAACAGTATACACCCACTACATATAAACCAACTACTTACAAGCAATCCAATGATTACAACTACTATCAAACACAACAAACAGTGCGACCAACTGCTAGTAAGCAACAACAGAAAAGCCCTGCTGTGAGTAGCATATCAATACCTACTACTGCTAATCCATATTACAATCCGGATGAAGATGATGGTCAATATCATCCTGAACTATATGAACTAGATTACACACATAGTCGCTTTAATCTGCAGCGCTCAAGTAGCACAAAAGCAACAACAACTACTACCACCATTAAGGCGCCCAACAATCATAAACAAAATTATCAAAATCCTCAAACACATCTCAAAACCCAACAATTAACTTCATTCCAAAAGCAAAGAGAACAACATGCACAATCTGATCAAAGTGACGAAGACGAACTCTTCAACACAGCGCATTCACTGAATTTTGGTGCTGCCAGCATAAATAAACTACGTGCAGATATTATAAAGGCAGAGAAAACATCACAGCAATACAACTCACAATATAGTCCGAATATTCAGACCTCTAGTCCGAAAGCGATTAGCACTGTTACACAGAAGATAGAAACGCCCAGTACAAATGCTTACACATACCCAACCTATACAACTACTACAACAACCAGTAAGCCCATAAGTGTTACCACACAGCGTACCACGACAACAACTGTTGCGGCGATTGTCAGTAAGCCCAGTAAGAGTTCTGGAAAATCCGGAAAGAAAGGTAAAAAGTCTCATAAAAAAGCAACATCCAAACGTCCCGCTCATGCTGATGAAGATACTAGCTACGACTATGCTTATTACGATTCGGATACATTAAGCGAGTCTCCACAGGAATATCCAGAATATGAAATTTCCGAATTTACTAGAACACGCAAGAACTGAAATTTCTCAACTTATTTTGTTACTCATAGATATAAAAAATTGTTAATAAATTTAAATAGTTATTTTACAACAAATCTTTAAATCTCTGAATCCATATATCTTCCGTGAAAAATTTAATTACTTTATGTGGTTCTTAAAATTATTTCAATGAAAATATTAATTGCCTTTTTAAACACAGTTTGATCATACAATAATCTTACAAATTTTATATCAAAATTTTATGTTAATCATTTCCATATCGATACTCCATACTTAAAACATAAAATATATTTAAATGATATATATATATATTTAAAGAAACTTAAAAATAAGCAAAAAATATTATTCAGAAGTTCAAAAAAAAAATTTTTTTTCCGTCTATTGTATCTGATCTATTGATTGTAACTATAATGTATCTGAAAAAAATTATTTAAAAGATCATTTAAAGTTCATATTAATTGTTTAATAAATTGACTACTTTTTTAAATGTGGAGGTGCCAGAAAACTAAAAATTTCCTTTTATTGCTTGTGTCAAATATTTAATTTATATACTCCTACCATGCAATTACTTGAATACAACAACAACACACATATCATTATTTACAATATATAAAATATTTTTTATAAATGTTTTTTTTTACATACTCATAAATTTTCCAACAAAATGCGTGTTTCTAGTTATTAAATAATAAAATAATTAAAAAATAATTAGTCGTTAGACAAATAAAAATCTTTTGGGGACAAAATAAAAAAATTTAAATACATTCAATTAAATTTTCAAAACGAAATTATAAATTAGTTTTTAAGCTCATTTAATACATACACACGAACGATAAAAATATATATATTATTAATATTAAGTTTGATTGTAAATAATAAACGAATATTTAAATAAAATAATAGAATATAATAAAATATATTTTTTAATTTTATTTTTTGGATAGACATTTTTGTAGTTATTTTAGTAGAGATTTATATTTTTTGTGAATATATGGTATATGTCGAATCAAACCTGTCAAGTCCTATAGCACAGCTTTAAACTTTACTACACTGACAAAATATCTAAAATGTGTTACACATTCCATTCGAGTTTTACCAATCAAAAATAAAAATTGCACTAAAAGTAAATCTTGCTTGAAAAATTTACCCCAGATTTACCAATCGAAAACGTCATTATACCATATATCATATAAAAATGTTCTTTCTCTTTCAATATTAAACAACTTTTTTGAAACTAAATCTCAGAATATTAAAAATTATATATAATTCCTTTTTGTGGTTAATTTGACAGGCACAAGTTCTAAGCCTGGCACTTGCAGTCCAAACAAATTATACACGGACTATAAACTAATTAAAAATTCGATTATTTCCTAAGACCACTGATGATGAGTACTTGGCAATACTCGAAACAGCGTTGTGTGGTCAGCCAAATTTCAATAAAATTAAATAAATTTTTGTGTTTGCCCTTAGTTTACTTTCTTAGATCTGTTTTGCATTTATATAGTCTTTCCAGTTAAGTCTGTAGTCCAAATGTATTTTAAGATATTTCAAGAACTCATTATGGGACTAAAAATTGCACAAAGCCAAGCTCTGAGAAGACTTTTCAAAGTACAATGGTACATTAGGACGAATGACATCCTCAGGGACATCAAGATTGATCCCATCAAAAAATACATAAAGGATAGGGCCTTGAAATTATTTGCGAAAACTGACAGACTTACCAACACTGCGTTATCAATTCTCAGAATGGTTACAGGCTCCTCGGAGAGGCATGCAGATCTGAGGTCAATTATTGCTTAATCTGATAAAGTGATAAACAATAATCTAGTCAAGGCGTTAAGAGGGGTTTTGTACCTCGAGTTAAGAAAGAGTAAAAGTGCTTAAGTGCACTGGCTCAAATAGCTTCAACATAATATGTAATAAGTTTCTCTGTTAAAAGTATATGTACTTAAATTTTTTTTTGTCAATTATTATTCATTTATTTATTAATTCTTTCTATCTGCTGTGTCAGAAGTTATTTATAATAATTTTATTAAGAATGTTAAGATTCGTTTAGGTCTATTCTATAATGTAGTTTTATTACTTATACTTTAAGCCAATAATTATTTTTACAGCATGGTAACAAAGATATTTAAATAATATATGATACCAGTACAGGTTTTATAAAAATCCAAAATAGAAAAATATTATAATTTAAAAATAATATAAATTAATATCAGTTAATCTGTTTAAATTTTGCACTATATTTTTAAAAGGAGTTTGTCCGTTATAAATAGTGCTATTATTATGCACTATATTGTGCCCAGAATAACACGTTTTTTTATCATCTCTTCAATGAGGTGTGCTATAAAAACACAAAACACATAGACACTATCGGTTTGAATTATAAATCAATTTTAATAGAGACTTATTTGAAAATTTGTTTCTAGGTTGACAAATTGTAAAATACCAGATCTAGCTGAATATTGTAGAATCATAATCACATAACGTAGAAAAATAATATTGAAACTATGTTATAATATATTTATTATAAAAAGAATATTTTGTTATTTGTATTACAAATCAGTAAATTCATCTCAATACCTTAATAGTACATCTCAATGCTAATACAGTAACAAATGTTATTTAAGTATCATTTTAATGTAATTATAATCTATTAGTTTTTTAATGTAAAAAATATAAATATTACGTAAATAAATATTATAATATTAATATTAAATAAATATTAATATTGAATAAATATTAAATATCAAATATAAAATAAATGTTTAGAAAATATTCCGCTATGAAGAAAAAGACTATTTGAAGTTTTATCAGTAAATTAAATTATTCTTTAAGAAAATTTAAATATTATTCATTAATATTACGAACAAAATTATTTTATCACTATTATAATTATCTAAAAAATATTTTATTTATTATATATCTCTAGTTTCGAAAAAATTATTTATATTTCGACGTCTCCTTTCAGTCTTTAAACTTTTGCTTTACACAACGCGGCATAGGGAATAAGTACAAAAGCATATTAAAGGCAGCCAAACCAACAGCAAATGCACACGATGCAGCTACATCAATAGTTTCCTAAAAATTAGAAAAATTAAATAACTATTTTCAAAAAATTACAATAGCTTTAATCTCACATCTGGATCAGCTACTCCTAAACGCTCATGCAAGAAATCTGCAGGCTTAGGACAAATATGCGATGCGGTGTCTGTGCAATTCATTTTACGCGACTGGAAGGCTATACTATGCAATAATGAAGAGGCATAACGAGTATGTGTTCCTTTAGTATTATCCTGTAACCATGGTTGTAAACCTTTATATGAACTGGAGAAAAAAATTACGTATAGTCACAAATTTAAGACATCTTACTTACCGAACTGTACCACTAGCTAAAGCTATACTTATAACTAATATATAAGTGACAGCTATTGCTGCGTTGAAGGGAACTTTGACCACCAATAAAAACGCTACTGTTAATTGTTCAGCCAGAACATAACTGGACCAGAGGGCAACCAAAAGATAAGCAAATACTGTGCCATTAGGAAATTTCGGATCCAATAGTAAACTGTGTAATTAAAATTAATATAATATGAGAATAAAAATATACTTCGCAATATTATTACTTACGGATAAATAACGCAGCTACCCAGTACAGCAGATATTATTGAGAATGGTATAGATACGGAATTATATGCAATCAATAAAGTAGCGCCTGAATACAGTCCTTCTGGAGTATCCTGTGAGAAACGTTTTCGCCAAATTGGAACTAAAAATTAGTGAAATTAATTTATATAAACAAAATTAGTGAAATTCTAATTTACATAATGATGTAGTAGTGAATATTCCACATCCATATGATAAGCCAATTATATTCAAAATCATGCCATTTTTTGTGAAAAATCCATGTGCATCATCCTAGTATATAAAAATTTTACACATTTTTTTTAAATGTTAATAAATTAGTTCTAACTTTAGATATATAAATGGATTGTTTAATTTAATGAATAAAAATTTTTTTAATTTTTATGATGCAGAAGACCTTTATTTCCTAACTTTTAAACATAGTTTATGGCAAATAAAAGGTCACACATTCCATGACTATCGTTCTTGTCTCCTTATCACTTTTACATTTAAAAAAATTTTTCATTTCTTTCTTAAACTATAACAGTTTAGAAAAAAAAAAAAACAAAAACTTACTCCGGCATTTGTATAGAATAACCACATCAAACTCATTGCTATAGGTAATAAACATAAACGCAAAAATAATGATTTCATACCAGCGACACCACAAGAAAATGTTGAAGCCAACAGTTTTCTAAAAAATTATTATTCTTAATTAAATTTTAAATTTTAAAAAACTAATAAAAACTTACAAATAGAGCATTATCCACACTTTTAATTCACCGGGCTTACCATAAGCTAATGGTACTTTACCAGTACCCATACTATTCAAAGGTGCATCTGATATTGGAGTTTCTCTAGAGAAACGCTCAACAAGCGCTTCGATCTGTTGGCTTGATTCCAAAAAACGATCACGGCTTCTGCAATTATAATAAAACACAATTTATTAGTAACTGAAAATTTACTAAAACGTAATCACATAATATCGGGGTATGTAATTATATTTAAACATACCTACGATCAACTGTAGACAAGCATAAATAATACATTAATGGATTTTCCAACTGTGGGCATGGAAAACCAATGCCATGAAAATATTCCAGCATAGCACGTGTACCACCTGAGTAAACTACGCCACCTAAACAAAGGAAGAGAGCACGATCTAAGAAAGGAAAAACATCGGAACGTGGTTTCTCCAAGGAAAGTAAAATGCCACAACCAGTCTTCTTAGCGGTATTCGAAAGTATCGAAATGAGCAAATAAGCACTTAATGGATCTAAACCCTGTGTGGGTTCATCTAGTAGAAGCATAACTATAAAATATAAATAATTAAAATATTATATATAAAATATAGGTATATAAAAAATTAAAATATTATTCTTTATTTGACTGCTTTGTAACTCATTTCCTTTATTTAATTTAATTCAATCTTTTTTTCAAATAAGTGCTCAAAATCTTTTATAGTTTTTTCTTAAGTATGGTATTAAAATTATTATGTAATATAAATTTATATCTATATACATTAATTATGTTTACCGGGATCACGAACTAATTGAATTCCAATTGATAAACGTCTAGCTTCGCTTATATTCAAGTATTCAACACGTTTATGAGCAACCTGTGATAATGCTAAATCAGCTAACACTTGACGCACTTTTGAGCTTTTCAGATACCCGGACAGCTGTAAAAATATATAGACAGACTTAATACAAAAAAATAATCATTTTATTCAATAGTTTTTTACGATTGTAGGTGTGTAATGTAGAGTTTGAGCAACTGTAAGACCTGGTATAAATGCACAAGACTGAGTAACATATCCACAACGTTGTTGAAAGAGACCTTTTGTAAGTGGTGATCCATTAAGAAGTACTTGACCTCGCGTAGCACCATCTGCACGGCTTGATATAACATCAAGTAATGCACGTTTTCCACTACCTATAAAAATTTAATGTTATAATAATGTTAAATAAATAAAATTTACATTAAGTATTACAAATATTATTATTATTACTGATTTATTATAATTTTTATATACCTTTAGAGCCTAATATAGCCATAACTTCACCACTGTGTACAGTCAGATTAACTCCTTTGAGCACAAGAGCCGAACTTCCTCCTCCATTAAAACATCCACCACCGTCGACCTAAAATATATTTGTATATACATATATTCTGTACTTTGTTTATCGACTCTTATATATTGATTAACATTCGTTACAATGATATAAGACTAGTTAGAGATTTGATTAACGAATTTTCCCGCATAAGATGTAATGTATATATATACCATATTTAAACGATATTCGCCAGTAACATTTATTAAACCAGTTAGAAAAAATTTTTAAATAATATATATGCTTAAAAAATTTAGGTGTACTGATCAATAAGAGCAAAAAAAAATTTATACTTAAAAGCAAGAAAGTTTAATCAAAATAAAAATATTACTTTGTCTAACAATAAAATGCTTATCCATCTTGTCAAAGCATATGATAATGCCTTGAGTACATTACCAGATGATAGCCTATATGTGCTGTAGAAATGTATCTTAAAGTAAAATGAAATACTTCCAGAACAACAAGAAGATCCTATAATCAATGACTGAATGCAATATATGCGGACTTAAGAGTCATGAACCTCGAAATTGTATTACTTTATATTTTGAAGGTATAATATAAAGGAAACTCTGATCTACAAATGTAACAGCTAAGAATGATAGTGGACGATATTTTTATACTATATCGAATTATATACGTCTAAATGGACTTCTTAATTTTATTTAATTTATATATATTTATTAAAATGTTTAAATTTTTGTTTGCTTTTAGCAATCAAGTCTAACAAATTTTTTATTATATTTCTCTAAGAATAATAGAGACGAACATTTTGAGTCGGGCAAAAAAAAAAATCTTAATAATTATTAATTAATTCCTTAATAATTACGAATATTTGATACTTTCTGTTAATTTATTAACACTATGTAGTATAATGTGTAATCGAGACCATTTTTTATAGTATAATATATGTGTATTCTTAATAGTTATATTCATTATTCGAGATTTAGTTTCTCTACTTATTAAGTTTTAACTTAGTCTTAATCTATGTATGTTCCTTTAAGAGTTTAAAAAATATTTCCTTTTAGAAAAGGAAATTTTTTCCTTATATATTTAATATTCACTAAGAATATAATAATGTATTGGAATAAATTTTACTTGCAGTCTCAAAAATAATCATTTACGAATAATTACGAATAATTAAATACAAGAATTATTTCCAAGACCACTGATGATGGGTATTTGGCAATACTCGAAACAACTGTATGATCAGCCAAAAATTCAGTTAATTAAAATAATATAAAAAAATAAAAAATTGTTGTTGTAGTTCACTACTGTTCGAAAAAACCTCTTTAATAAATTTTATATAAAATTATTACTAGTTTATAAAATAAATATACTTTCCGATATTTCAAAATTTGATATTAAAAAATAAAATATCTCTATTTGGGTCTTATACGAACCTCAGTGGTGTGAAAAATATTGTGTGCTTCCAAAACATAATCACTCCCGATCATTTTCATGTCAATTGTGTGACGTCACACTTTATGCCGCTTTTGTTTTGTTAACAATTTTCTTTTACTTCATTCACAACATTCACAGGTGAACGAATTCTTCTATCACCAAACAAATATTTTTGTTAACTTGTGATAGTGAGAGTACGAACAAAAAGTATTTAAAGAAAAATAACAAAAGCCAAAAGTGAATAAATAAATAAAATGAAAAAACAATTAAAATTTCAAATGTGCGAAAATACGTCTTAACACGAACGTTGCTTCTTCTAAACTGGAAACAAAAATTGTGAGCAAATGCTCAAATGGCTTAGAGTCAAGCTGTGGTGGTGACTTATTTGCATTTCCAATTGGTTTGAGAGAGAGAGCCGAAATGAGAGAACAGCTTATGAGTTACTTGGAAATTGTTTTGGCCAAAATATGGTATTTGTGATCAACACAAAGAATTGAAAAAAAAGTTAACATTGTTGCCAACTTTTATGAAATTAGTATTTAAAGCAGAATAAAGATATTGTTAGAGATTTGATATAGAGAAAATAATAAAAATAAGTTATAAGAGATAAAATCTGCTAAGGCTTTTTTGTTTAAAAATTTGTTTAATAATTTATCATAATACATCAATATTATATATATCAATATTACATATCAATAATATATCAATGTAAAATTGAAGTTATTGAACAACCAAATTATTTGAATTCCATAGAATATGCCTAAACATTATATATATATTTAGTTTTTTTTAATTTGTACTTCGCTTTGTGTATGTTCTTTAAAAAGTATATACTATATTAATAAAAAAAATGCGTCTCTGACAGATAATGGATTAAAAAGTCTTTCTGTATAGAATTGAAAAACTTTTACAAAGGAGTAAATGGTAATAAAACAGTTGGTTAGTTATAATAGCTGATATTTATTAATTTATTTTATTAATTGTTGATGTCTCAATAGTAATTTTAATAGCATCTATAAGAAATCTGCTTATTTACATAATATTTCTGATTTTGCACTCTTATAATATGCTGTTATATCTCCTTTCAGCATGCCCACAGCTTCTATATGTTAAAAGGATCCCCTACAGATTATCATTTTAGTTTATAGCATTATTCTCATGATGTGATGATCATGATGATCTTATGATTACCAAAAAATCTCTTAATAAATATATTGTTATAATAATACATTGCAAAATTATTAATTCACTTGTCTTTAATACTCTAATATAAATATTCAATTTAAGCATTGCCAACAATAAATTAAATTCGTGTACGACTTAATCAATGGTTGTGTTAGTTAGCTATTTACTCTCTTTGAGCCTATAAAACCAAGTAGAAACAGTTAATAAGAAAAAATTCCATTGGAAACAGAATATAAACAAATAGCGAAACAATTTCAAATTGGATCTGTCAGCAAAAATGGCGTCAGAAATCGAGTTTAGTTCTCCGAGAGAGTTTGCGCACGCAGGTTATTGCTGCGCTCGGCGCGGTGCGTTTTTATTTCAATAAAAAAAAAGAATTAATAAAAATAATTTAAACTGTTAAATAAATAAGAAAAATATTAATCAACAAATGAATATTAGTAAAAAAAACATAAGCACATATGCAAATTAAATGAAATTTAGGTTCTAAAAGTGTTTATACAGAGAGTTTCGATATAAAAGAGTTCATATTTAGTAGAAGATAATTAAGTGCATAAATTTTAAGGTAATATAAATAACTAATATAAATAAAATACATGAGTAAAAAATCTGAAATAAAATTTTGCAAAATGAATTCAGTTTTTGTGTTTTAACTACTTTCAAAATAAAATAAAATAAATCAAATATATATAGATATATATACAGATATATAAAATTCAATTTGAAAAAATATTCATAAACAGGATAGACCACAACAAAGCCATTCTTGGAAAGCAGCTTTAAGACGTATTAATCTGATATAATTTTTAATTATTTTAATTGCAGTTATACTTCGGTAAGTCAAGTTTGTTATGTGAACTGAACGCAGGAAATATATATACTTATAAATTTCCTATTAAGATTGTAATTAATATATTTTTAACAAATCCTATAAAAGAAATATTTTTTGTGGGGAATGAATATTACATTCAATCTATTGAGTCATTTAAATACAATAAGTATAATATATATAACATTTTCATATAAAACCGAACATTTTGAATTTTTTAATAACCAGTTATATTTGTTTCTGATTAAAAATTAAATTATTATAAATTATAATTATTATATTATTATAAATAATTTTTTTTTAAACATTTTTGTTTAATAATTAATTGAGCTACTAAGATCCGATCATAACTAATTATATAAATATATATGTTTATATTTTTCTTCACTTGTTTTAACACTTGTTTTTACTGTTAATTGATGTATTACACATAGAACTTTTTTATAATACAAGAAATTGTGTCTATAAGTAGAAAATACCAACACTTCCAGCTCAGAAAAATTTCGTAGGAAAAAATTTACACAGTCATTTTATTTTGTTGCCTCGGTTTAGAACGGTCGTCGCTACGGAAGGTCAAAGATCTTAAGTACTGTATGGTGCGGTACGCTAGTCTAGCTTAAGCAGTTTTGGTCATGGTTCTTCCTAAGGGTTTTACCATTTCTTAAACACACACTAAGAAACAAACTGCATTTATGTACAAGAAAGCAGAGCTATAATATTTATATGTGTGTATCTTCGTGTTTGTTGGAATAAAGAATCTTTTATAGTTAACTGAGCTCTAACTTGACTAGGCAAGTCTACACAGTCATTTTTTAATTCTTAACTTGGTTTTTATGCGTTCAGTTTTTTGTGTTTACCTCTTTTATATTGGATTTCCTCTTTCTTGCCTTTTCGTAATATGAGCAAATTTCTGGATTCTTACCACTTTTCCAATGTTTGTTCTATTTTTCTTACCGTCTTCAAGTTCTACAATACAAGTGTGTATCTATGATCGCTACAAAGAAAAAAAAACTGGTATTTATTGTTTTTAAATAAAAAGCAATTTTTTATTTTTTATTATTTTTTAAAATAAAAGAATTTTTTAAATTATTTTAAATATTTAACTATATAATAGCTTAACTTAAATAATATTTTTATTTACATAATTATCTGAGCAATTTTTTTACTGTAAACAAGTGCAAATTACCCTACGAGTAATTGTTCTCATATTTAGATAGAAAATGGATCTTGTCTAAATAATAGATATTCTCTTTTAACTATAATATATATTTTGTGAAGAATATTACAAGCACAATATCTTTTGTAATGAAGAAAAGTAAACCAATAGAAGAATATATTAAAAAAACAAAAATATTTTTATTACATATCCATTTTTCGATCGATAGTTTGACTACAAACATCATAATCTTCCAAATCCCAACAAAGGGTTGATTTTTTGTAACCACTCGTAAATCTAAATTTTCGATTGACTTCTCTATTAAGTAAACTCGCTTTTTTATTTATACACAACTTGTTCAATTGGGATTATTTTTTAATCAGGAAAGCTGATATTCGGTAACAGATTCCGTTCATCTGACCGTAACAACTTTTTTGCTCTATCAACTCTGTATTCGTTACATACATATATATTGATGTTGCGTCTTCAAATCCAACAACAGAACTTTGGTAAAAATTAATTAAATATGCTTTTTACTAAGAACATATAGTAATATAAATATATATGCATGTATATATATGGTAATGAATTTGAAAACACAATATCTTAAATCATATCGTACAGTGAAATCTTTATAATTAAGTCCCAAACAAAGGAAGAGCAAACCTATTCGAATAATAGAAGTATTGATTTATCGAGTCTGAAATTATAGAGATTAACTTTTTAATTTTGTAAGTATTTAATTGCATTATGTTTCGAATTCAAAGAAAACTAGAAATTTAAATTGGACACAAATTTCGAATAACCGGGTATCCAAAACTTCGAATTATTGTAGGTTAATATTTCGACTTGTAGAAGCTGAAGGTAATGAACAAATGTGATGAATAAGAGAAGTTTTGAATTATATCAGTTAAAATTATGAGTGTTTTACTATATCTGCAACACTTTTCGATATGATGTACTAGTTTTAATAATGGTAGTCATTGCTAATTAGAATAACTGACCCCTTAAATGTTTAAAAATATTTATGATAACTGCAAATATTTTTTTTTAATTTGGGTTTACAAAAAAATAAGCATTTAAATAATTTTTAGTTTACTTACTTACTAAGATATTTCTTTGTAAAGTATTTTCAGATAAAAAACTTAATATGATTCAATTTGACTTCAATGAAAAACCGGCCCGATTTTAACTAAAATATAATGCAATTAATATCAAAACATAGTCGTGAATATTAACTTGAGCTCATATGCTCAGAACCAGATATATAAAGGCCTTCTTAGTAAATGAAATAAACTTGCCAAAATTAATTTTAAGAGTGTTGCATGTATCTTAAAGTTTTATATATAATAAAAAAAATTTATATTCACCTCACAGTTTACATTCCATGAAGCCTGCAATAAAAATTCATAAATTTTTGCGGCGTGCAAACTTTTAAATCAACTTTAAGTGAGTGGTTTTGACTAATTATGACCAGGTTATGGAAAAAAAAGTGGTAAACTGATTTAAATTTTTAAAAGTGTTGTTGGGAAAAATAAAAAATAAATTCCAAAAATTATAGCATTTAAAAATTGGAATGCAAAAATTTTTGTCTTGGGCGTTTTTTAAAAAATTTTGCTTACAACGCTTTAAGAAAATCAAGTTTTCTAGTAATAATTAACAAAAAATAAAATAGTAAAATTCTTGTGAAAAATGTTTACATAAAACATAAAAAAAATGTTAAAATAAAATAAAAATTTTAATTGCAACAGAATAATTTATTTTAGTCTTGTTAGAGTGTAATAAAACAAAAATATCTGAATAGAGCTACCTTGGTAGATCAGAATTTCTGCAACATCTCAAGATCGACTTGATTTAAACTAGACAAGACACGTACCAATCAGCATGAACTAAAGCGAAACCTGCTCAGCATTACGGTATAGGTGCTGACATGTCACTGAATACTAGAAAAACTAGGGAGACATAGACAATTATAAATCAAAAATAAATATATAAATAATATATATAATATATAATATCTATATTATAACCTATCGGTTGAACAGAA